GTGCAAGCAGTTCTGGATGCAGATGTGTGTGACTGAATTGAGAATCTATGCAGAATTTTTAAAAATAAGTACACTGGCTATAAAATGTCCAGAGTATCCAGGTGGTTTTGGACAGGGAAATTAGAACTGTGTAGAAATGTGTGTGGCTACTGAGGCTACCGGTGGACTTTAACAGAGTAAGCATACTTTACAAACGGAACTAGTGAGTCATAGGCAGAAGCATTGCCTTTAAGCAAACAGGAAGGGGAGCTATGAAGGAGCCAAAATGACTCAGTGGGAAGTAAAACTGGACTGTGTAAAACACTGCTGTGAGAAGTGGCTAGCAAACTCCCATTAGCAACTGAAGTCCATCCTTGTCAGTGTGGGAAGCAATATTAAATATTATTTACTCAGGGGGATGTCCATAAACACCCAAAAGACTTCCTAACCACTTTTACCCATTCCTCATAGCCAGTGGTGGGATTCAGCAGGCCAACACGGGATGTCCATAAACACCCAAAAGACTTTCTAACCACTTTTACCCATTCCTCATAGCTCATATTCGGCTATGCTCTGTATTACATACAAAACAGGCATATGTCACACAAGTGGGGGTATTCACACATTACACTGAATACGTGTTTACCCATGTTTTCTCATTTGGATGTCTGTGGAAAGCTAGCTGCCCCATTCAGTTGTTTAAGATTCTTCTTTATGAACGTAGAAGGAGGAATGTGTGCTAGTCTGCCCCTCCTTCCATCATCACATCCTCCTCTGTGTGGATGCAGGCATGTTTGAAGTAGAGAGCCTAACTATTGATGGAGGCTCTCCACAGTTCCAGGGTCAGTTGGAATCCTGGAAAATTAAGGGCTAGAGAAGCTAGAGAAGCCTGGGAGCTATGCCCCCCCACCTGCTTTTCTCGTCTCTGGGACGGGTCCCACATGGAGGAGAGCCTATGGACATGATGTAGAGAGCTGGCAGGATTATATCAGAGGGGACCGTCATTCTCTAAATCCAACCCCAGAGAGCTTTGAATTGCACTGGAGGAGCAGCTTGGTGGAAGCTGCACGGTGTTTTCACTATGTAGATTCCCCGCTCTGTGTATCTGACCTGTAGCAAAAAAAATGAGAAATAAATAAATAGATGTGCATCTGTTCATTTATTCATTTCCCCACTGAGAATCTAAAAGCAACTGAAGTGGAAGGAGAAGGAGAAGGTAGAAGATGGGGCCGGGGGAGTCAAATTATAAGGAACAGCATATTAACCCATTGAATTTTAAACTAGATTGAATGATATAAAGACCTAACATTTGCAAGCTGAATTCAAGTGTGTGTATAGCAGTCTTTCCATCAGTTAGATTAACAGAATAGAAGGTATGGGTATACTCCGCAACAATTATGTTTCCAGATCCTGACTGTGTTAGATGAGATGGATTGCCAGTAAGGACAGGGCCTCAGTGGTGGCGGCACCCTATTTCTTTAATTATTTTTCTTTGCATAATCCTATAGGTTCTTTGTGACAGTTAATTAATGGGTTCAACAAATGGGACCTGCAGCAAAATATCACAATGGTTCTTTTCAAGGCACCAGGCAGCCACGCAACCTTCTCTACTCTTCTATACATTATTCAATTTTTCATCATAAACTTTGTGTCTCACCCCAACAGTCAATTTATTTTGTTTTCTCACAGCTCTTGCTCAGTTCTCACTGATGTGCTTTGGCTTCCCTCGCCCCCTTGGGTCTTCTCCCTAATTCTTTTTTCCTTTTTTATTTCATTTCTGGAAACCTTGGGGTTCCTCTATCGATATCTCAATACCTCAAGTGTAGCTAGTACTTTTTGACTACTTTATTATCCACAGTTATCTAATCAGTAAGCTATCAGCACATGGGATAAACAAAAAAAAACCCAAACAGTGTGCCACATATTTGAGACTGTATATGATTAAAGAGATTTATTTATTTATTTATTTA